TAAAAACACAACACTCAAAACTGGGTCTAAAATTACATATTAAGAGCGTATTTTATGAACAGAATAATTACCTTGTGTCACATATGTTATAAATCATGTGAAATTACACTCTTGTAAGAAGGGCTGGCAGGCTTTCAGTGTCTAATGTTATAATATTTGCTAAGAAACAAAGAAGACTGAAGAACTACATAATTAATATTTTGCTATGAAAGCTCAATGTTGTAATGAAAAACGCCACAACTTTTCAAATAATAAATTATTGTTCTTGTAGTCTGCCCAGACATTCTAGTTCATCTCACAGTTATTCTGCATTTGTATAGAATGAAGTTTAACATAAAGGAGGGTATGAATTAGCATTATTTGTTATTTGAATGGCCTTGTCTAAATCTCTTCCTGGACACAATTTCTCATTAGTATAGTATTTCTTCTTCAGAAGGTTTGCATCATGGGTAAAACAAATAATCTTATCCATAGAGTTCTAGTTTCTTTGTGAAATCTTTTTATTTACAGTTTTATAATATGCCATCTGCAAAGAAGAGCAAAATAAAGTCTAAATTTAGAGTTCAAGGTCAGTTTCTTATAGTGACTGACTACCCAAACAACTCTGAAAGATTCACCAGCTGGACAACTGGGGAACTTGCCATTTGCCAAAAGCACATGAAAGCATTCCTCTTCTGAATGCACACTGAATCTTTCATACAACTCTGCTATTCTTGAATTTATCTGATTTTAGAACATGTGGATCTTCACTATTTATTTCCGACAATTGCCGAAATTTCCATGAGTTCCTGTTTTTTCCTCTTCCAGATAACTAGTTATTGGTTCTTATATATAGCCTTTCATTTTATCTTTCATGGAAAGTACCAATGTGATATATTTATCAAAGTTCAGCTTATCTATGCTACTTCTCTTTTTTCTCTGTCTCTTCATTTAAAAAAAAGTTTTGAGTTTTAATTTATTTGTCAAATTCATATAGCCATCTATATCACAAAACAAGTAACTCTGGACATCATATAACAAAGCTCAAAACAATTAGACAGATAATAAAAATCTCAAGTAATTAGTATTATTTATTGTTGTTACAAATATTTTAAAAAGTATAAAAACAAACGGAACGGCTTCACTAATTCACCAGTCCCCTGAGGTCCCTAGACCTGATAGCAAAACCAGTTTTAGTTAATAAAAAAATAAAGCAGTTTCTGCTTTAGTTCTGCTCTTGTCTTCCATTCACCTGCTTTTCAATCTCTTCTCCTTCTCAAATTTCCTTTTTCTGTTATATTCATCATGGTTTGCAGGTAGTATAGTCTAGTTGGTTATGCAACTTGCAAGACTTTAATCCACTTACATGTCTCTTCTATACATAGGCTCAATATGATTGTAAAGTGTTTCTTTTTCCTTTGGACAGATGCATATGTAACCAAGGCAGCAGGCACTGGTGCTCTTTATTTTCACTTTTTAGCTACCTGTCCGCCTCTTCTTTGCTGCCTGTCTCTTGTTATGGAGAAGGTAATCACACCGAAGAACTGAATCAGACAAACAGCATCCAGAATTTGCTCTCAAAATAAAATTAGAAGTTGTCAGCTGTTGTCCATATTTACTTAATTAATACTTGAATTGTATTTTCACAGAAACCAACAGGTACTATTATTATTATCACAGTCAGCCAGATGCTCACACTGAATTTGGCATTTTTGTCTATCTATTGAGGCTTACCAAGGACTTGGGGTAAGTAGATGTGGATTTTTGATGGCATTACAGATATTGTCACAGCAATTCTCAGTAAAGCCGCCTTTTGCAATTGACCGATGCTGAATTTGTCAATGGCGTTCAAGCAATGATTCAATTGTTGCTGTTATTGTTGTTGATGTTATCAAATTTATATGCTACCCAGCTCACTGTCCAGTAACCCTGAATGGCTTACAAGTAATAAAAATAGCAATATAGAAACTAATTATAAATGAGAACAATTAAAATTATAAAGTATTAAATATAGGCTAAAACACATTCAAGTGGGAAGAGGGTGCTGCACCTACACCAAACACTTCCAGCCTAAAACGTCTACATTGGGACTCAAGTCTTAAGGCTCTTGGGTCTTCCTTTTGATGGATCATATTAATTACCAGAGGTTCCAGTGGGTCATGAAAAGATTCTTTAAAAAAAAAATCAGAGACATCATGCTAATCAAGAATCTTCACAAAATCCTTAGGTTCCAACCTATAAACACCTATTTGAGATTAAGCCCTATTTTAGTTATGTATAAAACTGAGATACATGTAGACCTTTGTATATGTATAATTTTATTTCATTTCTGCATGCTTCTTTAGGCATATAAGTTTATGAAAACAATATTCTTTTTGGTAAGTAATAAACATTTGGTTTACACAAACATGTGATGGAGAATTACATATAAGTTGCACAGAACTGTAACTAAATTCCACTTGAAGTTTCTTTAGTTGTGCTTTTAACCATAGAAAAAGCAGGCTGAAATCTGGATTAAGCATTAAAATTAAAAGGCTCTTCTGGTTGTCTATTTTTATAATATACGCCACAAGTGGATGCATAAAAGTCACCTCTATTTGGCACCATGAGGTAGCATAATTATACTGGCACAGGAATGTTTAACTGTGGTTATGATATTGGCAAATCTCTTAAACCTCTGAAACACATTAGAATCTGTCAATTTTTGGTAAGCTTGCTGGTGTAACTAGATTCTGTAAATGTCCATTATGGCAAGTTTTAATTATTTTTTTCTTCCTTGTTTTTTTTTAATCATAGATTTTGTGTCATACTTGGTCTTTGAGTTTGTGACAGTGAATATTCAGAGTATACTGCATATTTTATCTCCAGAATACTTTTCTTCTTCTAGAGAAGATTATATTTGAGAATGAAAACAGTCCAAAGACACTGTTGAAGTCGGAGGAGCATCACAGGATATTTCTGGAAACTACATTTTTCCTCCGCTGGTAAATCATGCTATGTTTTTTGAAGATGGAAATCTAGACAAAACAATGACTGATTTCTGCTAAAATTAGAATGTTATACATAAAAAAATCTCTAGCAGTGAAAAATACTGTTTTATACTCCACTTTATTTCATAAAGTAAAAGCAGGGAATACATAGAAATTTAAATTACCTGATAATTATACATTTTAGGATGACAAAAAATAAGACAATTTTTAAATTGGCTTTAATAATTGTCCTGTTATGTGATAGTGAGATATTTCATTTTCAGTTAAATTTTGGGGATTTTCTGGAAGTTACACTCCAAAATTACATGTTACAAAACCTTACATTGAGAGGAAAAAATACTCATGGATGAAGCCTCTCATCCTTTAGATATCAGACTGATAGGAAATAAACAATAAATAAATAAATAAATAAATAAATAAATAGCTTAGTTGGCAATAAACAAATATATGCAAGAGATACAATTTATGAGGGAAAGTGAGCAGCTCTTTGAGATGCTAGTTTGGTGGCATATTCTTTCTCCTCTGTGATTTGTGGATTCAGTGTCTTCATGGTCTTGATGACAAAGTTTTCAGACTTCGTTCACAAGCAAACTTGGGATAAATGTATCTGCCATAAATCAGAAGGGTTTGCATTTTAGTAATATGTGTAAGTCAGAAAAGGTGATAAGTTTTTTTTCCTCCACTGGGCTTTTTTCAGCTAGGCTGCCATGGGTCTCCTGTTATGACCTATTAATAGATCACTGGCAATTTAATCCTGAGACGGCATAAATTTAAAAATTTGCTGCATTTTAACCACCTGAATTGGTTAAAAGCTTTTCACGATTGTCAATTTGAAATTCATCGATGTGAATGATGCAATTCCATGGCAGGGGTGCACCCAGTGTATCCAGGACTGCTTGCAGAGTAACCTTGAATGCTGCGGGGAGGGGGGGGGGGCAGGTAATGAATGACACAGGAAGAGCAAATGTTGACACACATTTCTCAATTCCCAGAAAAGGCAACTGAAAAGAAACCTCTACAGCAGTGGTTCCCAACTTTTTTTTGGCCATGCTCCACCTAAGCATCTTTAAAATGCCCCCCCCCCACACACACACATAATTCTTACTTTACTCAAAAAGTGAACTGTACTCACGGGGAGGAAGCCTAAAAGGCCATTAACTTGGTTTAAACAAGGTTCAAATTGCCCCCCATTAAAAATCAAATTGCCCGCCCGTGGGGCGTGGGTCCCCACGTTGGGAACCACTGCTGTAGAGGCTGTGGTACTTGTGGCTAAACCAAGTGTATGTGAGCGTTGGCACGCACTCCCCAACCCCTACTTTTTGGGGAGGTAGTTTCCAGAGGAAGCAGAGTAATCACACAGTCCGGAGGATCAAGGTGTGGTGGGCACGTCTTCCCTTCAATTCATGTTCCTGCGGAGCTAAAGAGAGGGGGAGGGGGCTTGCTTCCTCCTTCTCTAACGTTAACCCGTCGGCCGGACCGCCCCCCCCCCCCCCCCCCCGTCTTTGCTTGGCCTCTCGGGCGTCACGGCGCGAGCCAGGTTGACACGCTTTAACGGGATAAATCCGGGGTTAGACGACGCGGGCGTTGACAGGCGGGCGACAGTTTGAAAGCACCTTCGCGCGAAGGGGCCAGCAACTTCAGAGACGCGGCGGGCTCCTCCGCGTCCTCTTGCGACCGACTCCTCACACTTGCTTCCCCCCCTCCCCACTCTCGAGGCGCAGGCACACCAACAGAGGGGAAGGCGAAGCGAACGCCTCTCCCTTCCCCTCTCACTACTCCACCTCCCCCCCCCGCATTCTCCCTCCCCGCCCCACTTTCACCAGGAGGACGGATCCGACCCCCACACCGGCCACCCTCTCGGCTCCCAGCGGCAGGCGGCTGAACCGAGGCGGGGTCACATGCTGGCCTTGTGGGTGGCCAGGCGCCGCCCAAACGACGACGACGACGACGACACGCTCCTCTCGGTTCTCGCACGAAATCGGGGCGACCTCCATTCGTCGCCGAGGGAGCCGTTGGCCCGCCGCCGCCGCCGCGACTGACGGGCTTTGAAGGGGGTGCGCGTGTGTGAGGTGGAAGGGAGGGGGTGCTGCACGTTCCCCTTCCCTCGCGCCAGCGGTAGCCGAAGGCCGAGCTGCCCGGATTGGCCGGGGAGGGCCGCGAGCTCCGCCCGCTGTAGCCGTGCTTGCCTAGCTTGGAGAGAGAGAGAGAGAGAGAGGGAGGGGAAGAAGAGCGGGGCTGCGCTCCCTGCGCTGCCTAGTCTGGAGCGGGAGCCTGGCAGCGGCAGGAGCGGCGGCGGCGGCGGCTGCTGAGGAGCCGCCGGAGCCTGCTGGTCGGAGGACTCAGCCCCGTTGCCTTCCGCTCCGGGTGCGCGAGGAGGCGAGGAGAGGGGGCCCCGTCTCCACCGATCCATGACCATGGGCGACAAGAAGAGCCCGACCAGGTGAGGAAGGGGGAAAGAAGTCGAGGCGCTTTGGAGAAGCGGGCTTTAAAAAAAGAGAAAGAGAGAGAGGGCTTCTCCTAAGATGGAGGGAGTGTGGAAAGGGAATAGAAAGGAGTATGCGCGGGTGCCAGCTAGAGCACCCACCTCCGCCTTATGCTCTGGGGAGGCGCTGCGTGTGGGGACTAGGCCACAGAGTGGTAGTAGTGGTGGTGGTGGTAGTAGTAGTAGTGGTGGTGGTAGAGGAGGGGGTTTTTAAGATGGAGGAAGTGGGTAAGGAAGAGAGCCTTATTTGTTTGCTTGCTTGCCTCCTTCCCAGCCAGGTACGGTAAAACTCCTTTTTTTTCCAATGGTGTTGGGTGGAGAGGAGGGGAAGCTGGAAGCTCCTTGTGTGGTAAGACGTAAGGGGGTGGGGGGAGGCTGCATTCGGTGCCCAGGGTGGCTCTTAAGATGGAGGGAGTGTGTAAAAAGCAAAGCTGAGAGCAAATGTTTGTGTCCCTCTGTGTGTGTGTATATGTGTGTGTGTATGTGTGTCGGTGCCAGGGCTAATCTGGTGTTAGAGCAGCTATGGCGGCTCCTCACTCTCTTTTCACACACATACATCTCCTCACACTGACTTCTTCCAGACAAAGGGAGATTTAACAAGGTAAAAGAGAGAGACAGACAGACAGACGGAGGGGGCGCATGGAGGGACACGCCTACAATCCTTTAAAGTACAATTAAGCTCCCCCTCCCCACCAAAAAAAGAGGGAGGGTTTCAAGCCCTCTCAGATGCCTTTCACCATCCTTTTCCCTTCCCTTCTAGATTCACTGGTACTCCGTGTTGAGTGAAAATCGATTGTCTTGGGATTGAAGATTGAGAGGAAATGTTATCCTTTCCTCTCTCACTCAGGGATATAGTAATGGGGGAAAGCAGAATATGTATTTGGTGAGAGTGAAGCAGAGTGTAGTTCAGGTTTATAAATGTTTTGCACCTCTTCCTGCTCCCCCCTCCCTTTTTACCTCTTTCCAAAAAATGTGATTACTTTTTTAGCCAGAGGAAAAGAAAAGCAGGCCAGCAGAATGTAACATGAAATAGCCTTGTTTTATTATCTTGTTTCTAACACATTTTATTTCTTCTCTCCTTCTTTACCCTTCTTCATATATGCACTTCTCAAGACCCAAAAGGCAAGCTAAACCTGTAGCTGATGAAGGTTTTTGGGATTGTAGTGTCTGCACCTTTAGAAACAGTGCTGAAGCCTTCAAATGCAGCATATGTGATGTCAGGAAAGGCACCTCTACAAGGTACATAGTCATATTGAAATATCTCCATTCTTAATTGTAATAAAGTTGACTTATTGGCTTACCATAATGGTAGCAGCATGAAATAACTGGAAGAGAAAGGTGTTTACATTTGGTATTTTGTGTTGTGACCTTTTAATAAAATTGAATATTTGTAAAGGTATAATATTTGATATTGTTAATAATATGGCCTATTTTTAAGTCAAAAGTTACTGAGTATTTCTTGGGACATTTAGATATAATTAGAAGCTTGGGTTTTTTATGTGTCATTTTGGTTTCAGGAACACTGCTGAATAAAATAAGAGGTGATAAGAGAAAGGGGCATTAACATCTTCAATTTATCAATATATTTGGATGTGGAATTGTATGGGTACAGTAAGAAGAATATAAACATTCAGATTTGTGTTGTGTATTTTAAGTATACTGGATGTTCTATGTGAAATACTACAGCTTAGTATTTCAGAATAGTATAAAGTATAAATACTAGATATAAAAGTATATGATATTTACAGCAGTGCTGTAGAAATGATAAGTTTATGAGAACTTGGGGTTTCCTTTCTCTTATTCTGATTGTTATCTAGATTGCTGGAAATTCTTTCAAAAGGCTAAAGTTGTTACTGATATTTCTTTCAGATAATTAAGTTTAGAGGTTACCTATTCTGTATCCTCACAGGGTTTTTTATGATGAAAGTATTGGCATGTGTTGCTACACACTTTTTATGTTAATTATTTCTAGTGAAATAGTTATTTGTGTGAAGTTTAAACTTTTAGGCAGCAGATTATTTGGGGAGTTGTGACTTGGAACAGCTCAGAATGTGTTCACAATATTTGGATATTTATTTAATCATACAAAATCCTTCTACAAGAGTGAAAACTTTATGTGACATGAAGTCTTGGCATCTTCTGAATAATCTCTGTAGATAGTGCCTTTATCTTTGCAAGTCTTGTACTTTTGTAAACAGAACTGATTTAACCTTGTGAAAGTAAGTATTGTAAAAAAGCAATACTTGTCTGAATCCACCTGTAGCTCTTGTTTTCAAACTTGTTGATATTCATTTGTTCCTTTAGTAAAATATTTTTAAGATTAGCATTTTAGTTTGCATTTATTGGGGATAGACAACCAGCTTTTGGATAGATATAGTATGTGTTTGTGTTTACACTGTGCATAATTGAGACCTCTCTTCCAATCAAGAAAATCACCTTTGTATCCTGGTACCACATGTCACAGGTTGTGTGGATCTATCCTTTAGTTTTAGCTGCTACAAAGGAGGCTGGAAGGCTATTACCTCCAATTATTTTCTTATTCTTTACTTCCACCCTGCTTTGGAGTATTGTTTCAGTTGTGATATGATATTACTTGGTTCTGCCTCATGGTAGATTCTTATCTACCATCACTTTTTCTGTCTCTTTCACACATTCCTTGCAGGGTTGTGTAAGAGCCCACTGAAGAAATGGACAGGAGTTTTCATAAGTTCTGTCTGTTTGGGTTTGTCTCAGGAATAAGAAAGATCAACTAATTGCCCAGCAAGAGGGGTTTTTTTTGATGCACAAAACAATTGAGCAGGGAATGAATATGTATTTTTTTAAAAATAAATCTACCGTATATAACTGCCCATTTCACAACAGAGGATTCTGGATGACATACAACAATACAATAAAACTATATAAAAGCAATCATTATTAAAATATGATTCTTAAAAATCATTCTTGAAAATGCAAATGATCATATACAGGAAATATTATTAATGAAGAAAAGAGCCATCTAAAAATATCCCCAGTCCCCTGGGACCTCCAGCATAATGACAAAAGCTGGTCTTGAGGGATTTAGGGAACATTAACAGGATGAAACTAACCTCACTTTGGGAGCGGGGGGGGGGGAGAAGATTTCAGAGGCAGACCTTACAACAGAGAGGACCCACCTCCTGGGACCACCAAATGTAACTCCCTAGCAGATGGGATACAAAGTATGCCCTCTCTGCCAAACCTAGCGGCACATGCAGATATAATTGTGGAGAGTCAGTTCCTCAGGTAACCTGGGTAAATATAACTCAGATAAATATAGTCCATAATAAGATTGTGTCTGTTAGGGGCAATATCTAACACCCTTTGGGTTAGTTAAATGAGTCATTTGTACAGGTTTGATAATTCATATGAAGTACTTACCCCCTCATTCCATGACCTATTTCAGTATGCTTTGCATACAGGACTGCTGTCTAAACTTTCTCCATAGTTTTTTTCTCTTTTTTGGGGGGAATATTATAAGTACTGTCTTGTATTTAATTTATTTTATTTTGGTAGTTAATTGTGATTTCTCTGTATATTAGATATATAGTGTTTGAAGTCAATAATTGTAAGCCCTTTCTATAGGACTGACAGACTTTATTATGGAGATTTCATTCTCATGAGAAATTACATTTATGAAGTAAAACAAACTTCAAGCCTTCCCATATTACAGCTGACAAAATGTTTCCTTGTGAGATACAGAAGCTGATCACCATATCTGTATAACTAAATTCCAAGACTTCTTCTTTATTGGTATAATACATTTAACAAGTTTTTTTTTTGAAATAAAACAATTTTGAGGTAACAATTATTTGCAATGATACTCATGACGTTTTATATAATTTTAACTATCATAGAGTGAAACTGAATATGGCAAACATTTTAAATAACAGTATGTATCTGAACTTTAGATATGAGTTTTTGGTTGTGGCTTGGAATTATGAATTACTGTATATGACGCCAGTTTTTTCTAGGGGAATTTTTAATTATTTTTAAATAGATACTTAAAAGTACAAAAATGCCACACTAGTTGACTATTACTCAGAATATTTACATCTAATGCAACAGTTGGTTTGCTTGTTTTCATACAGAAAAGTTGCCTGTTAAGATAATTTAAAATCTAATTCAGCCACTTTGTATTAATATAAATCTTTAACAAATTGAGTGAAATTACTGAGAGAGGAGATTTAGAACTGTGAAATTGGATTGATGCAGATAGACTTTTCTATCTTTTCCTCCAAAATTATACAGAGAAGTTAATGTGACTTTATGTATTTGATTAGTGACCTGCCTTTCTTACAGGCACCTCAAATAGTATGCATAGAATTGCATTCTTGCACCTGTGCCTCCCCCCCACCTGTTGATTATGCCGGAATTTTAAAAATCCCTGAAGATTGGGTAGTGATATTGTGCATTAATTGAGCTATTTAGAGAAGATGTCTTGTATAGCGTTGTGTAATCCATGTGTAGCATTTAGAAGAAGAGGGGTACAGGGATATGCTGTGAATAAGGAGTGGACAAATGATGTGTAAATCTGAATTGAAGTTAGAGTTACTTTTTGTATTAGGTAATGGCAACAACTACAGGATGTATGAATTAGAGCAATCTACTTCTTACCCAGTGTAATATTTTGTGTTTTTCATACTCCTTTAACAATAAGGGAGAATTAATGCAGGTCACATATTGTAGACCAGATCAGTTAAGTATTGGTTTACTATAGTTTTATATAGTTTTGTATGTTTGTTTATCGATTTTGAACTGAGTTATGAGAGATGTTGTATATTGATACTCTAACTTTAGCTTTCTCTAATATATTTTTGATATGCTGATGTGTTGCCATTTATGACTAAAAGTGAAAGCATTGCTTGTTTTTTTTTAACTTAGGAAATTCTGCAGTGTTCTAATAAGATAAAATAATGATTAAAATAAGGATTTGTTGTATTGATATGAGAAGGAAATATAATCGTACGTTACATCTCTATACAAGTTTCTGATCATCTTACACGTTTTAAATATCAGAAGCATGTTTAATACTTCCATTCAAATATATAAACATGTTATTCAAATATGTAAACATATTAATCTAAAATCAAAGATAAATTTTACATTTTCAAATTATTTTTAAAATATACAGTACAACAGTGATTATATTAAAATGATAGTGATTCTTTATGAGAATAATTGCCAATGGAATTTCTATCACTAAATGGTGCAGTCATAAAGCATGTCACATGACTGTATCACTTGGTGGTGGCAATCCCAGACTCCCTGTTGTTGTTATTAAGCAAATTCTGTCAGTTGTTAGTTGAGGATCCACCTCAATATAAGCCATTTTGAGATTTGTTCTCCCCTAGTCCCAAGCCTTCATAAGTAAGGGGCTGCCTCCTCTTCATCTCCCCCTTACCCATCTATCAGCTCCCCATTTCTGTCTGTTTGGCCATCCTGCACTCTGCCTTGTGCCGTAGCAAAGCCACACACACTCCTGGAAGCCTCAGCTACCCTAGCCCACCCCAGCCACGTGGCACCAACTGCCCCAACAGTCCAGTGTAAAGCAATATCCTGGGAAGCTCCAGCAGTATAATACAAAGCTGCTGCATCCTGGGAAGCTCCCACAGCACGGTGCAAACCTGCAATACCCTGAGATGCCCCAATAGCATAGTGCAAATACCCTGAGAAGCCCTAGCCCGGTACTAACTGCAGTTGCCCTTGCCACCCTGAACACCAAGGTCTCTACCGCCCTGGGCTTCACTGCCCCAATTGACCTTCACTATCTTCTTACTCCTTTAACTTGACCAGGCCTGCTTTCCCTGACCTTTCGCAAGGGTCATCTTCTCCAGGTCTTGCAAAGAAACTACCATGCTCAACCTTAAGAAAGCCTCATATGAAGAGGTCCTTTTTCATGCACCTTCTAGCCAGGTCCTTCTTTCATGCTAGCAACATGGGTCTTTCTTTTATGCACCTGCTTTTTTTAGGGAAGGTGCATGAAAGAAAGACTCTTACCTGTGCCAATGCCAAACAAAGATTCTTCTAGCCAGGCCCTTCTTGCACACTGGGGCAGCTGGGGCCTTCTTTTGTGCACCTGGTTTCCAAAGCCTCAGAAAAAGGTATATGCAATTTAAATACGGCCACTTGCAATTTAGAAAAGGGCCAGGCTCAATCTTGGGAAGAAGGCCTGGGAAGCCAGCAGTTGGTTCACAAAGGCAGGCTAGGCATGCCTTGTC